GATGAAGCCAACAGAACCACATCATCCGCAAAGATCAGAGATGAGATTCTGAGGCCACCAGTAATGTAAACAGAACAATAATATGAAATAATAATGACAATAGTGATAGAAAGTCCAAGGACAGTTATTTGCCATTAAGGAGACAAGATGCAGTGGGGATAAAAGAAACCTGGAGTCTTCCTCGGAGGTACTCTAAAACAGCGCCCGGAAGGCAACAACTCAAACTCACAGTGAAGTGGATGGTTCAAACAATTAAAAATAGAATGAGCCTTTCTAATCACATTTCTATTGTAAATGGCCAAAAGTCCATCGTGCCAATGCCCTGAAATTTTGCGAGCAGTTTTTACCAGAAGTCCCAACCGATTCTTATTCTTCACCATCAGGTTACCAAACCAGGCAGCGATACAAAAAGACATCACAGATTCGATAAAACTTCTATAAAACAAAGACAACATCTGAGATGAGACATTAAAAGATCTCATTTTCCTTAAAAAGAACAGTCTTTGTTGAACTTTTTTAGTAGTGGCATCAGCATGAGATTCAAAACACAGTTTATGGTCAAGTCAATCAGCAGCTTTAATGACAGTAGGTGATGAGCTATAAGAGGACTTCCTAAAATCGAGACAGCACCAAATGATAAGAGTGAACTTTAGGGCTCCTTCAGTGGCCTCAGTTACTTCAGCATCAGTATATTTTTTAGAAGTTTCAATGACTCATATTTATTCAAGCAAAAGAAACTGTGGACTAACCAGTTTCTCATCTGCAGTGGGTTTTAGAAAACTTACAGGAAGATGAGGAATCCGAGGCCATCAAACAGCTTCGCTTTGCATTGGAGATCAACCCAAATAACGCTGCTCTGCAGTGCATGCTGGGCGCGAAGCTGGCGGCCTATAAGAAATACGAAGAGGCTGAGAGTCTGGTGAAGAAAGCACTAGAAAATGATCCTGATAACCCTCATATCATCCGCCACTCGGGAAAATACTTACGTGATCGGGTAAGTCTGCAACTTTGGTCTTATAAATTCTTACTTCTGGTCACTGGGTCTTTGGCTTAGTAACAGCAGACCAAACAAAAGTTCAGAAATCTGTCTGTAGAGACTCATCCTCAGTTTTTTAAAAACGTTTTCTTCATAGAAACTATTCTAACATTATTTACAGTATGTCAAGGCACCTGCAGCGTTATACTTAGAAATTAATTCAATGTTAACAACTTGGTGACAGTGGGGAGAAGAGACCACCAACAGACTCCAACTCTGCCTGACCCGAGGGTAAAGGTACCAGATGATAGAAGTCTTCCTGGGCCCACCATTCATGCCATTAGCTTCTGTCTATAAATGAAAGCACATTCACCATCCACTTTAAGGCATCCTCAACCATACAAGCCTTAATAGAGCATCATCAACAGCAGCCAGGTCAATAAAGACACTTTATTTAAAGGTTATAAAACCTGTCCTTGACTTTCATATGACTCCAAAAGTTTGGTGTTCATTTTTGGCTCCTGTGAGTTTTTAGAACAACTCTGTGATCTCTGGGGATGCTGGCTGGCTTTAGGCCTTCATTTCCTTTCCTATTTTGTAATCCTGAACAGCTTGGGTGTTTTTGCTCTCCTTAATCCTG